CGCCACATTTGTCAATGAGGAACAGGATGAGCATGATTGTTCCCATTGTGGCATGAAGAAAAAGAAGGGCGGCAATGGTTGTTGCAAAGACGAGCATAAGATCGTTAAGCACGATACCGACCATTCCATGGCAAAGGAGATCAAAACACCACCTGCGCCTGTACTCTACCCGCTTCCTGTTGCCAGCTTTATCGTAGCGGCTCCCGCTCATTTCCTGCCGGAGACGGTTGTGCCTTCTTTTAACGCGCACGCCCCACCAGACCCGGACAAATGCCCAATTTTCCTTGAGATACGCAATCTGCGTATTTGATTTCATGATTTGCTGTCAGGTCGCTGTATCCATTGGCTAAACGCCGGGATGTGCTCCTGCTTTTTTAGTTTCAGGCCCATCCTATACGAACAGCACCCCCAGTTGAAAAAAGAACCGAGGTTTTCAACCTCAATATTGTTTACAGGCTTATTAGTTCTGTTCCTTTTTATTCTTTTAACTCAAACACAAATCATGAAAAAAATATTTTTTATAGCCGCTCTTATTCTTGTCAGTGCCTCTTCTTTCGCCCAGATCCAATCGGCCTCTTTAAAGGCAAGCGGGCTTACCTGCAGCATGTGCAGCAAATCCATTTTTAAATCATTGCAAAAAGTATCTTTCATACAAGATGTCAAGGTGGATATTGAAGGCTCTGGTTATGAACTGAAGTTTAAACCCGGTAGCCAGGTGGTAATAGATGATGTAAAAAAGGCGGTGGAAAAAGCGGGTTTTTCCGTTGCATCTATGAAAGTGACCGCTAATTTCCCCAAAACGACCATTGAGAATGATGCCCATATTGCCCTGAATGGCACTAACCTGCATTTCCTCAACGTACCGCAGCAAACCATTCAAGGCGAAAAAACCTTTACGGTGGTAGATAAGAATTTCCTGCCGGCGAAAGACAATAAGAAGTACAGCCAGTACACTAAAATGACCTGTTTCCAGACCGGCATGATGGCCGCGTGCTGCACCAAGGGCAGCCAGCCAACAGGACGTATCTATCACGTAACACTTTAATTACCTATCCTTACTTTGACGGATCCGGGAGCCAGTCTCCCGGTATCCGTTAAACCATAAATATTTTCCATGAAAATAAAATCTATAATGATGG